TGTTGACTGGTAGGTTATATAGATTACAGAAATATATATATATATATATATATATATATTATTATTATTATTTATTTTTTTTTTATGTCCAGTGTACCTTGACATAGTTGTAAAAAAAGTTGTTATAATCTATTTTTGATACACTCTAACCACTCTGTAATATTGTGTGCTGGAACAGTGAAGAAGGCCCTGGAACCAGTAAAGCTGAACGGATGGGGGACACCTGAGGTGAACAGCGAAACCATGCAGACCAGTGAACCCTGGGTGTTTGCCGGCGGAGACATCGCCGGCTTGGCCAACACCACCGTGGAGTCTGTCAACGATGGCAAACAAGCTTCCTGGCACATCCACAAGTACATCCAGGTGGGCTCTCCACTCAATAAGCCAATCCATTGTAAAAAAAGTTGTTATAATCTATTTTTGATACACTCTAACCACTCTGTAATATTGTGTGCTGGAACAGTGAAGAAGGCCCTGGAACCAGTAAAGCTGAACGGATGGGGGACACCTGAGGTGAACAGCGAAACCATGCAGACCAGTGAACCCTGGGTGTTTGCCGGCGGAGACATCGCCGGCTTGGCCAACACCACCGTGGAGTCTGTCAACGATGGCAAACAAGCTTCCTGGCACATCCACAAGTACATCCAGGTGGGCTCTCCACTCAATAAGCCAATCCATCTCATTCTACATTTGGACGTCTTACACAACATACTTAGTGTTTGGCCACAGTTGTGTAGCTTTGAGAGCCTGCTTCACATTATGTGTCAGTGCCAGCAATTTTCAGCATTAGTATAGCACTCAAAGTTTTACGGTCACAGTTTTTATAGCGAGGGCATTATTCCACAGGGACTTTTTTTCTCAGGGTGACATCTTGAGTGCTTTTTGGCTTAGACACTCAAACAGTAGAAGATTCTTCCTTTGTTTTCCTAGCAGAAAAATATTTTCTGTGATTTTGCACACAGACCTAAGCGGCAGCATAAAGAGAAGGTTCATACAGAGGTTAATCGCTAATGTAACTGTGGCCAGAGGAAGTCACGCTGAAGTGTTTGTTCGGCAAATGCATTTCCCCCCCCCCAAAACCATTCTGTAATTTTGGACTACAGAGAAAGAGCTGTACAAATATTTGCTAATGGGTTCAGCAGTTCAAGATCACGTAAATGATTGGAAGATAAGATCACATTTTGTTTGTGGGTGTTGTGTTTAAATTTTGGTTATTGGCTTTGTGTATGGATTTTCAGTGGGATGAGATGTTCTCTTGAGCAGTGTGCTTGTTTTTCTTTCGTTTTAGCTTGCAAAAAATGTTTCTGTGCTAGTAGGGGAGAGCGGAGGCAGTTGTAACACAATACATTTCCTCAGTCACAAACAAACTAGAGTGATGACACTTACTCAGCACATGCTCAGTACAGTCTCTCTGTGCCTGAGAAAAATAAGTGCCATCAACTTCTGAGAATTTGTCAAGACTAAATGTTTTTGTGGTGTGAAAGTGTTTTATATTTTTCATTTTATGTCCAAACTTATTCTTTTGCTATCTAAAGTATATTTTATCTTTAGTTTGTTTTTTGTAAAAAAAATAAAATAAAATGAACATTTTAACTCAGTGTAGCTTCAGTGTAGAATTTTTGTCAGGGTCATATGTAACAGAAATTATTTGACTTTAATAATAAATAAATACTGTTTTATAATTGTATAGTTTTTATATATGTGTATCTGTTTGTATAAATGTATGTGTGCATGTACAGTATGTTAGTATATATATGTATGTTCATTAAAAAAAGCTTTAGTATATAATTTAATAAATAATTATACACTCACCGGCCACTTTATTAGGTATACTTTGCTAGTACTGATTTGGGCTCTTAATACTTCTTATTATATATTCAAAAACTTGCTGGAAACATTCCTCAGAGAGTTTGGTCCATATTGACACAATAACATCATGCAGTTGCTGCAGATTTGTCAGCTGCACATCCATGATGCAAATCTCCCACATCCCAAAGGTGCTCTGTTGGACTGAGATCTGGTGACTGTGGAGTCTATAGGGCCTTTCGCACCACGGGAACCTTTTCATAGTACCAGAACTAATTGTGGAACTACCCACTTTTTGGCGTTTTCGCACCGCCGGAACTGGGTGCGATTTTAGTA